AAAACAAAACATAAGGGGCCGGGGATGTAGCTCAGTGGTATAAGTGCCTGCCTGGCAAACGCAAGCTCCTGAGTTTGATTCCTGGTACCGGAAAAAGAACAACAACAAAAAAAATACAACATAGGAGTAGTTGCTAGCTGACCATGCTGACACATGCCCGTAAAGCCAGCGCTCTGTCTGGAGGCCAGAGACTGAAACCAAGGTGTTGACAAGGTTGCGCTCCCTCTGCTGGCCCTAGGGAAGACTCCTTACCTTTTCCTAGCTCCTGATAGTAGCTGGCAGTCCTTGGTGGTGCACGGCTCAGGACTCGACACTGCACAGCCCGTCCTGCACTCACCCATGCCCTTCCCCAATGTTGCTCTTTTTTTTTTTTTGAGGCAGGATTTCACTTTGTAGTCTAGGCTGGTCTTGAACTCAGAAATCCTCCTGCCTCAGCCTTCCGAGTGCTGGGAATACCATGCCTGGCTTCACATTTACTTTTGTATGTACTTCAAATATTTTATTCTTTCTTTTTCTTCCATCTTGAAGATAGCTAACTTGCCTAGATAGGGCTTGAACTTGTGATCTTCCTGCCTCAGGTTTTTTTGTTTGTTTGTTTGAGACAGTATCTCATTGTGTAGTTCAGGCTGCTCTCAACCTCACAGCAATCCTCCTGCCCCAGCCTCCCAAACCTCATCTTCTTGACTGGTGTGGGTGACTGGTGGGGGTTACTGGCATGTAACACAGCATCCCTCCTGTTGAATTCTCTTTGAGGCAGTCAGACCCTTTTGATTATTTTGAGGCAGGGTCTGTCCTTATTTGCTAAGTTGTACAGGCTGAGCTGAATCTGTGGTCTTCCTGCCTCTGCCTCCCAGAGTGTTGGCATCATGGGGCTGAGCAGCCGTGCCCGGCTAGACTGCGCCTCTTGGTGGAGCGGTGTGGAGGGATTTGCAGGCGTATTGCAAAACCACGGCAGCACAGACTCGCGCACGCAGAAAGCAGAGCCCGAAGTGCAGACTTCCTGTGCAGAGGCTGCAGTTTGAGTTTGGCTAGGTGGAGGAGGAGGTGGATGAGCGTGGTGGTTGCATAACAGCACGAATGCATTTAACGCCGCTGTGTATTTATTTATTTGTCCTTTTTTTTGTCTTTTTGAGACAGGGTCTCTCTATGTAATGCAGGCTGGCCTTAAACTCACTATGTAGCCCAGGCTGGTCTTGAACTCTCAATGATCCTCCTGCCTCAGCTTCCCGAGTGCTGGGATTATAGGCCTGCACCACCACACCCGGCTCACCACTGTATATTTAAAGAAAATTTAAAAATCTGGATGTGCTGGCGTGTGCTTGTAATACCAGCCACAGTGGACCCTCTGGTTACGACTGGCCTGACACACCAACAGCTGGGGTTCTGAGTGGAATTTTAGCTTTAACTTACAACCAGTGTCTTGAGTTATGACCGAATGCCAGCCCCTTGTGCTTCCAGACTGTCTCAGATGCAGATTTGACCTTTAAAGAGTTCTGGAAGGAACGTTATAACATCCTTTTCTGTATGGGGTTAATTGAGAAATCCTGGGCCAGTGTCTCTCTAAGGACACTGAGATCGGCCTGTGTACAGGAGAGAGCTTTGAAGGCTGTGTAGAGGAACCTGCGCCTTCCATTGACAACCTGAGTTACAACCGGCCCTCGGGGGCACATTGAGTTCGTAAGTCAAGGGTCGTCTGTATTCAGGAGGCTGAGGCAAGAGAACTGCAAGTTCAAGCCCAGCCTGGGAAGCTTAGTAAGACCCTATCTCAAAATAAAAAATAAGAAGGCCTGGAGGTGTAGCTTAGTAAAAGTCCTTGGTTCAGTCCCTGGTTAGTACCAGGGGATATGGAGATGTATATATTTTTTTCACATACAAAATAAATAGCTACACATACATAGAAGAAATGCTGTAAAATTTGTGAATATTTAAATTTTAAAGTTTATTAGAACCAGACTTGGAAGCTGGGCGTGGTGGCACATGGCTGTTATCCCAGCCCTGGGGAGGCTGAGACAGGAGGATCGCCGTGAGTTCGAGGCCAGCCTGGGCTGTACAGTGAGACCCTGTCTCAAAAAGAAACAAACCCTTGGAGGAGCCATGAGTGTGCAACCTCTCCTGGGGTGGTGTTAGTGCGGTCCATGTTGCAGCCCGGCCTCCCTGGTCCTGGTCCCAGGTTCCCCTCACACTCTTGGTGTGGCCTTTCCCGCGCCCTCACCCTGTTCGTGCCTCTCCCTTGCAGAGCGCCAGTGGAACATGTGGATCCCGGGATTCGGCTCTGAGGAAATCCGGCCCTACAAAAAAGCTTGCACCACAGAAGCACATAAGCAGGTGAGGGCCCTGGGGCAGCCGCTGCCTGCCATCGGAGCTGCTCCTTTGAGGGACGCACACTGCCACCTTCCAGGGTCTCCCTGCCCCACACAGCGGGCAGGGAGGACAAGAGGCAGCACGAGCAGGTGTCTCCCTGCCCCGCACTGTTCCCCCAGGGGCTCGGTTTTCCTCTCACATTCGGGCGTCACTTGAAGCTCTTGATTCTGGGCTCTTGTGGACGCTCGCCGCCTGCATACCTCCTTCAGGAGATCTTCCTTATCCTTGCTGGTCTGACGCCCATATATGGCTCTGTGAATAGAGTAGGTCGAAGAGACACACTGTGCTTGTGCTGAGAAGTAGTACCAGGCTGCTCTGCCCGCTATGCCGGCCTGGGTGCCCCATGGACCTTTGTTCTGTCCCTCCTAACAAGGAGCAGAGGGGCAGTGTGGAGCAGCCCTTCTCCTGCAAGCGGGCCTGCATTGGTCAGGCCAGTAGCTGTGCTTTCTGCCTTACCTGGCTACTTTGAAAAGCGAGCTACTTCCAAGCTTGACAGGTGTCGCTGGCAGCCCTGGGTGCGCCCCTTGCATTTTCATGGCCCAGGGCAGCTGTGGACAGAGCGCATGAACAGGAAGCTGCCAGTAGCCTGAAATGAAAGACTGCACTGGCCCCCAGAAGGGAGTTTTTCCTGTCACTCCGCCTGCGCTCCCCGCTCATCCACTGCTCAGCCCTATTTATTTACTCAACCAGTAGCATGATGTTGGTCAAAAAGAGTGAGCAAAGCTGGGCATGGTGGTGCACACCCCTCACCACAGCACTTGGGAGGCTGAGGCAGGAGAATCGCTGTGAGTTGGAGGCCAGCCTGGGCTACATAGTGAGTTCAAGACCAGCCTGGACTCCAGAGATCCTTTCTCCAAAAAAAAAAAAAGTGAGCAAAGCCAGTGAGTTGTTGCCCCTCAGCTGCCCTCGCTGCAGGTCGCCTGCGCAGTGCCGGCCCCCTCGGGTGTGGCACCTGGCTTGAAACAGGCCCTTTCCGAGTTTTTCATCACTAGGGAGGAAGAGACTGGGGCCAAGGGAGCCGGAAAACACATTTCGCCAGCCTTGGTCCTGTGTGAAGGCAGGCACTGTCCCCTTCGGCTCCCCCCCCGCTTTTTTTTTTTGGTCTTTTTGACACAGGGTCTCGCTATGCAGTTCAGGCTGGCCTTGAGCTCACTTTGTAGCCCAGGCTGGTCTCGAAC